AAGATGTGAGCATTAATTGCTCAATTGCAGCAAACCGGAACTGGGCAACGTGGAACTCGGTTTATTGCATGTGAACAGCTTCGGGCAGAAGCGTCAAAACGAGATCAAAACTTGGCGCATACCCCTGCTCCCAGCACACACACACGCACACACCCCGACACACAGATACACTCATAGACAGCTCATCTTGGCAACTGGTTCAAGTTGTTGGCTATTAGCCGTTAATTGATAGTTTGCCCAAATGGCTGGGCTGAACGGCCCCTGGCCGCCGACCCCTGGACGGTCTCAACTTGGCTCGTACTGTGTTTGCAAAGAGATTAAATTGACTAACACTAACCTGTCTGACTTGTTTGTACTGCTCTTCAAAGCTCCAGCCATTATTCTGCTGCGATGAATTGGATGCCTCGCTGGACGTCGATGAATTTGATGCGGAATTAGCTGCAAAGTGGCGCGCTGAGTTCAACAGTTAAACACCGGCTAACCCACAGCCCCATACCAACCTTCTTTGGCGCTCGGCGCTGTCGGCGATGCAAACGAGAAGGGATGCCCATTGCCGGCATTGTTGTTGTTGTTGTTGTTGTTGTTATTGTTGTTGCTGCTGCTGCTGCTGTTGTTGTTGCCACCAGCATTTCCAGCCGCATTGTTGTTGCTGCTGCTGCTGTTGTTGTTGTTGTTGTTGCTGGTGGCGCTGCCTCCACCTGTGCCGCTGCTGGCTCCATTATTGTTGCCGGCGCCAGCGCTGCCCATTGCTGCAGCTGCTCCTGTGCCAAGAGCTGCACCATTGTAGCTGGCGCCGTTGCTGCCTGGCGGCACGGACGCATGGCCAAAGGATGCAGCTGCCGCGGCCGCTGCCACCGAATTGTGCGGCAGCGGGAAGGCCGTGCTGATCGTTGTGGGCAGCATATTGGCGCCAAAGGCGGCCGCATGGGCCGCTGCTGCATAGTCCTGTTCCTGCAAGGCAGTCAAAGCGAAACGTAACCAATGATAATCAGAGTAGCTCATCGTCTGCTGACACAATCTGATATTAAAGAACTCCGTTTTTTTTTTGTGAGAAGAATATTTATGTACAAATTGTACGATTAAAATTCCAAATCACACAATTTGATATAAATTTTTGATTTAATTGGAATTCCCTTTTGAATATCAAATATAAAAGGGCTGACAATTTAATAGAAATATTTTTTCTATTTGCACTTTTATAACAATTTGATGCGAATTGCAATTAAAAGCATATTTTAACTGATTTTGGAGTGTGGTAATTTATATTAATTAATATAATTTTATAAGGACATGCATGCTGAGAAGCACAAGAATCAGTATATAGCGATGTCTGCTCATATAGATATATCTGTTTTGCCTGACATTCTTTTATGCATTAATATGGCGCTCTTGGAGTTTATAGGTCTATATAGATCTATATGTAATAATTAAAGTTCATTCATCAGAGCTTTTATTGCCTATGGATTTAACTATAAAAGTTACTTTTAATAAGTCGCTGTATACAGCAGGCTATACTCTATAACAATAATTGGTGCATTTGAATATAAAAGGGCGTATTAGACAGCTCCGATCATATAAAGTATATTCTTATGTAGCTGTCTGTTTATCTGACCAAACTTTTACTATCAAACCTATTTAGATTAAACTAGAAGTAGGTCTTCTTTTCTATTGAAGTAGGCAGCTTGTGTGTATTTCTGAAAGCGGGCAAGAGGAACTTAGCTTTCAGGTCAGATAGTAAGTAAGGACTAAAAAGTCTTTGTAGGCTCAACAGTTTTTTACTTACTATCTAATATCTTGACATTAAAAAAGGAAAGTAATACATAAAAAGCGAAGAAAGAATCGAATGATCAGATCAGTTAGATCGTTGATCCTAGATTTTGTAGATCTGTTCAACTTATCAATATAACTTTTAAGAGAAAGGAAGAGCAATCGTCTGTTCTTTTCTCTTAAAAGTCAATAGAGTTAACAATATTCAGCATTGGGCTTAACACTCACCATGAGACCCACTTTCATGTCACGCACTTGCATCTTGAGCTTTTCGAGAACATCGCTATGCTGGAGATTTGGAATGCTGTGTAGGCCGCCAATGCCCATGAAGCTGCCCAGCGCGTTAAGCGGATGATTCGGCGGCAGTTGATGGTGATGGCTGCAACAACAAGCAGATGGATCAATAAACGTGTATCAGATGTAGCTGGGATTAAATGCTACCCACCTGAGTGGCAGATCTGTTTGCTGCTCGGGACTGGCAAAGTTGAGGCCAGCGCCGCCGGCGACTGTGTGACTGAGACGTGCGGCAATTGCCGCCTTGGCGCTCAGCTGATGATGTTCACCGTCGACGGAATCGCAGTCGCGCATCTCGTCATCCGTGCGATCGCCGTGGGACTGTAAAAGAACCGCCAGAGAACAGAGAATTAGTTAAACAGGCGTTGGCTGCACCAAATTGATGGCGGCGCTTATGTCAAAACATGCCGCATCGATTGCGATCAATGCATCCTCGAGCTGATCACATTGATCGCCTCGATTATGCGCCCGCTGCGCTGGCCAAATGTTCAACAGTTTGTCATGAGGCGGCGACGGCGACTTTGCTGCTGCGTGCAGCGTGGGCAGCGTTTAGGCTCAGCCACAGCCCGTGCCAAAGGCACAATATTAGCACATAGAGAGAGAGAGAGAGAGAAGGGGCGAGTGGTGTTTTTCAATTGTATTGCCAGCGAGGCGACAACAAAGGTAACCACTTAATAAATTAACAATGGCAAGCCGGTAATGGCAATCAAGCAGAGAGCCCAAGCCCAAGCCCAAGCCAACAGTCCAGGCTATTAAGAGCGAGTGGAGCTGCTGGATCGTTGCAAGAGTTACATCCATGGCGTATCCGTGGCCACAACCGTTTCAAGCGTACTATTGCCAGCCGTGACTCTGGCAAGAAGTCGGCCACGCTTGGCCGGCTGCCTGTCCACGGTCCGCGGTCCGGTCTTTGCTTTTTATGCATTTGGAGAGGTGCAAATTAAGCGCATCTGTGACTGTGTGCAAATCGGGAATTTTCAATTTAAACACATCCAAGCGGCAGCCAACCGACAGCAGCACACACAGCACACACCACACACACAATGTAACCTGTGCTGCACAATGTAAGCCAAGCCATGCCCAGGTTAGGCCGGGCATCATCATCATGATCATGATGCTCACCATCAGCCTCATCGGAGCACAGTTCGCATCTCAGTGTGCAACTCTTTTCATGTGTGTATACAACATTTATCGCCGGTATCGTTGTTGTCGTTGTCGTCGCTGTTGTCGTTGTTGTCGCATTGCTGTAATCATAAATGCAACCAAAACCAAAGCACACATAGACAACCTCTGAGCTGAAAGGGGCAACAGGGGCTATGGACTCTGGTATTCGCAGCAGAGAGCTGTTGCAGTTCCAAGAATTCTTTGAAGTTCGCGCAAAATGCAAACGCCTTTAATAGTACGAATACGAGTACACTGGCCAAAATATAATACAATTATGTTAACATTATGCTAACTGCTTAACATGATGAAAAATGTATATTCTTACATATTTGTTTAAGCCAACCGATCCGTATAGTATTTAATCTCTGTGCAAAATATATGTGGGATTTGGCCAAATGCATCTCATATTTTAATTTAATTGTAGTTACTATCTTATGCACTTATTTTTTTATATTTTTTATTGATTTATTCATATTTTATAATGTATATTAAATTATTCATTTATTTATCCTTTGTACTATATGTTAAATGTTTACTATTATATAATTGCACAGATTTAGATTTCAAGTTTAAGCTTATATTTTTGCTTTCTTTTCTTTATGCTCGTTAGACCTTAAGTTAAGATTTTAGGTATTAAGTCTTATGACAGACATTCGCATTCGACATTCTAACTATTCATTTCTTCTCTTGATCTTGCTATCTAGTGCTAGTTGAATTGCATTTCTTTCAGTGTAAAACCGAATGTGAGTGTGGCAAAAATGTGGCCAACACCATTTGGTTAACTGAAGTGATATGCGGCAACTCCTTTTCGGACCAGCTTCGAACGCGAACGCGCATAATGAAATGGTAACGTCTTGCTCTTGCCTCCGTTTGGTGGCAACAGCCTCCGCCTTCGCCTTCGCCATCGCCTCCATCTCCATCTCCGGTCCCAACTCCGTCTCCATTTCCATCTCCGTCTCCGTGAGCAGCTCCATCTTCTTTGTGGGCACATATTGGCGCATTGATCGCTGCTCGCATTGGACGTTGTTGGCTTCAGTTGGTTGGTTAGTTAGTTGCCAATTCGCGGTTACCACATGGAAGCAGCCATATTTGCATATATAAAGTACATACAGCCATGCATGTGTGTATGTATGTATGTGTGTACATCAAATTAATGTAAGTTATCGAATCCATGCGAAATATGTGCACTCAGAGGCCGATGGACGCTTCGCTGGCAACATTTTAGTTGCGGTTGGTTTTTATTTTCTGCTGCTGTTGTTGTTGTTGTCGTTGTTGCCATTTCTGTTGACCAGGCCCAAACAATAATTGTGGTATTGAAGCAGCCAGCTACGGCCTGGGCCTGGGCTGTGCCCGCTGCCAAAGGCGTGCAGTTTACGCCGTAATGCACAACGAATTTGCGCCGCAGTTGCGTGTTGCACAAAAAAATCAACCAACTAAAAAATTCAACTTTTGATGCAGTTCATTAGCCGATCGATAACCAAACGTTTGTTTTCGATTTACTTTACGAAGTTTTATTTAGTTTTTGCTTTGCAATAAATAAGTGCATTTTTAGCTGCCAACTAAATTTAAGTAATTCAAATTTGGCAAGCAAATTTGTAGTTCAATTTGGACTTCGAGTTGTGTTTAAAGTATACAAATCTTTCACAGATATTGATTTGATAAATATTCGCTATTTTGAGCAGAGATATTGGAAATCAGTTTTAATTATATTTACTCTATTTTAATACATTGATCTGTTATTACAAATTAATTCCAAAAACTCTCTTTATTAATTTCAGGTATATGAACAAAAAATGTAATAAGAAATTTTCCAAGAATATCTAAATGTTGAAAGGTATTTACAATTTTAATTATATTTATATACATTTTTCACAAATTGATTCTAAGAGCTGTCTTTTTTAATGTTAATGTTGCGAAAACATTTTTTAGGGAATATTCTAACCAAATCTAAATCGTAAAAGGTTTTTAAACACATATTAATTTAATTTATTTAATTCCTATGCCTATTTGAAGTATATTTTTTGAGCAAATTGAATAGAACATTTTTTTATAATACATATTCTTAGGAAAGTCCCATCACGGAGTGGAGGTCTTTTATGTGACCCAATATCTGAACGCAATTATGTACAACTGTCGCATAAATTATTATGTACGATAAGCTGTACTAGTTTTAGGCAAAAGCATTAGCTAAGGCATAAACGCAGACGCTAATGATGGCCAGGTATCTTGTTGCTCAAAAAAAAAGAAGTAAAATAAAAAACTGTGTCGCCAGCCCATATAAGTATATATATAATACTTGTATACAAATAGGCAGAGATAGTACTCGGGCGCACAGCTACACAGCAGTTCCATTAATTTGGACTTTGCCGTGCAATGATAAACGCCGGAGCGTGTTATCGGTTTAACTTTTACCGCAGCACTTTCATAGGAAAGCCGAAAAGACATTAAATCGCAATTAGACCTGACGCAGAAGTTGCGCCAAAGTCTCCGGGTGCACCCACAATGCAATACTTGAGATACTAGATACTATGTGTACATGTGTAGAGCTCGCATTGTGTCTAGCTACGAGATACGATACTCGTGCGCAGGTATGACTGGCCTGTGTCCCCCGTGTCGCCGTGTCCCCTCATCCTCGTTGATTGCAATTTACTTTAATAGCTTTCGATGCACCGCAAAAGACGACGACATTATTTGTGACAAGATGGGGGCACAAAGGGCCGCATGGGGCGAATGTGACGACTATCTAACTGCAAATTGCATTTGTATTCGGTCGAAGAATATTCAATTTATTTGCCGCTGACAGTTTTTATCACTAATTAGTTTACATTATTTTCGATAATTTATCTTAATTTATTATCATTGCATTTGACCACAAATGCAATTTAGTTAATTTCGCTTGGTTGCTGTTATTGTTGTTCCTGTTGCCTCGACAAGTTGATATGAACAACAATTGCTATTGTTGCATTGACAAATTGTCGGAAGCACTCCGGGTCAGAAGAGCTGCTGCCGTCGGCACTCAGCGCTCAGCGCTCCGTTCATCATCGGCGAAACGGGATATCGCACAGAGGGCAGGTCGGACGGAGCGGACAGGGCTGCGCCGCATGTGCAACATGCCGTGCTAATTTAAAACAAAAGGACGAGCCGCTGCGGCCACTGGAAATCCATAATGTGACAAAGCGACGAGCGGCGAGGGGCAAGCTGTGAAGGGCGCAGCATGCAAACAGGATCAACTAACTACCAGAGCGGACGCCCAGCCCAGCCACACAGGCGGGCAGGCAAGCGTTTTATTGTGTGAAGGATTAAGATTATATAGCAGGCATATGCTGGCCGTCTCTCCCCTCTCCCTCTCTCTCCCATTGGATAGTTGTGTGTGTTTTTTTAGACCGAATTGTAAACTAGAAGTCCTAATGTTCTTATGATTCAAGTGCTCTTTGGGCGTGCTGGCGTCTTAAGTTTATTAACGTCCTATTTTCATAGCACGATTTTTAGAATTATCTACTTTGAATTATTCCTGTAGTATTCCTGGAACTCATAAATGCCATGACAGTAGCAATGGATACATCGATTGGTTAGAAAAGAGGAAAAAAACAGGCTTTTATTTGGTTTAGTGAGGTCTTTCGTAATGAAATGTTTATGATTTAGGTTTATATTTGAATAATTGAAAAACTGGCCATATTTCATATTTCATCTGAATTTGAATGATTCATTTGATGTTGCGATGTTGAATGCTAGAGGCATGTTCTGATCATGCTCATTTGTAAATTGGGATAAATAATGAATTTTTTTTATTTTCAAACATTCTTCAAGGAATGTTAAATAATCTATAGATGTGGTTGACATCTTAGTCAATGGGGTAAACTGTTAGGTTTCAAACGTTTGAAGCTAACACTATTATTAATAATATCCGACTTCAACACTGAATATTAAGTTAGAATCGACATTTTTAGTTCTAGCCTCGAAAAATGTACAGATTGGGTACAATTTCTTATGTACATACGTATGTAGCATAATGTTTTTATGAAATGCATATTTTAATATGCACCCACATGTGGATGCACTTAAGATGCACACAGACACACACACACGCACGCACACAATATGTATGTGCACATGCACATGTAATAAATGGCGGCGTTTTCTCATATCTGAATAAAAATGCGAACATACACACATAAATAAAAATTGCTCATTTACGCATCCACCCCGTGGCGAATTACTTCAACGCGCTGCGACGATGACGACAACAACAACAACAACTACGAGAAGAACAAGAGCCAGCGACTAAAAAGTACAAAAAAAGATATATATATATATATATATATAAATATATGTATGCATATAGATATATTAAGGGCAGGACCAAAACATGTGCAACGTGGTCGATACGGAAACTCCGCTGCAGGCCGAAGAGCATGAAAATAAAATTAAAATGCAAAACGTATCTGTGAGATACAAGCTCATATATGTATGTACATACATATGAATGTAATATGAGCGTGAGTGCGACTGCAAGAGTGAATGCTAGCATGTGTGTGTGCGAGTGTCGTGTGTGTGCGTGTGCGCGCGCGAGAATGTGTTTGTGTGCGTCGCGTATTTCATTCGCTCGCGACGCGACGAAGCGGAAAAAATAAAGCGAATAAAATATAAAAATGGAAACAACAAAACAGAAACTGAAACCGAAACGGGCAACAAACATAATGGCGCATTCGCTGTGCCGGTTGCCCGCTGGCTGGACGACCCAACGAGCGAGCGAGCGAGCCCATTGCCCCTACCCCACAGAGCCCCCCCCCCCCCCCCTCCCCCCAAACTACTTCCATCAGCCAACAAACCACCTACCCACTATTATATGGGCGCTGCACGCACGCCCATGTTTTGTGTACTTGCGTGTGTGTGTGTGTGCGTGACTGAAGGCAGACGAAAATTTCGCGTAAACAATAAAATAATGTAAAAGGTACAACAACAAAAAATAAGAAGAAAAAATGAAACCGGTTAAAAAAGCAACGAATAAAAGGGCCAACGACTGTTTCTGCTGGCCTGTGCCTCTCCTTCTTCTTGTTGTTGTTTTTTGCTTGCGACCTGCGTCTAGTTTCGATTGCAAGCGGCATTAATTTAAAAAAAAAAAAAATAGCAAAAATGCATTGTTTTTATTACAGCCGGCGAGGAGCAGCCCCAAAAGCAACGGCTCAAATATTGCCCGCTGCCTGCCCGTCGATCGCAGCGCCGTTAAACAAGCTTAACTTATGCTCTTGCAGATGAAGAGTATTGTGGTTTCAGCATTAAGCGAGTAACGCATAGAAGAAGTCAAAACTCGCAAGCATAGCTATTCTAAGCACTTTAGCTGCTCACATTTCTGCAAGGGTATTTAATTTTCGACGCGCCATAAATAACTGTTCTTTTTGGTCTCTCATTCGCTTATTCATTCATTTAACGGGCCAGCGAGAGCTTTCGGCCAGGCGTCCGTTTTCGGTGAGAGCGCTTGCAAAGTCGACAATATAAAAAGCCACGCCCTTTCGCGATGCGAGGCAAGACGTTGTGTTTATTAGTGCTTTGATAATAAGCTTTTATATTTGTGCATGTGCATGTGTGCGTGTACATAATGTATTCGCACAATAGGTGTGACTGTGCGTGTGTGTGTGTGTATTGTTTATTACACTTTATCGCAGCTCGTAAGCAGCTGCAGCTGCGAAGCTGCCGCCAGTGCTGGAAAAAATCCAATTAACAATTTTATTAGCTATGGTTGAAAAATAATTCATAAATTCATTCTAAGCAAAACTGTAATAATCATAATTTTTATGAGCTTGTTGTTTTTTTTTTTCAGTTGTGCTTTTGTGGCATTTGTCGCCATTGGCTTTTATTGCTGTTATTTCTATTGCTTTGCCATTTGAGCGTGTTTAAGTTTCTTGTTGCTGGTTTTGCATTTTAATTAAATTAAAATTGTATTCGCATCGACGTATGACACGTCGTATGCACTTTCAAGATTGCCATCCAGCAAAATGGCGCCTATAACCCAGCCCCAAACCCCACCCCATCCACAGGGATTTCCGTTGTCATTCTTTTCGTACGCTCTGCAGCATCAAAGCTGCCCCAAAGGCGGCATTTCGACTGCTCTACTCTGCTCTCTAATACTTAATCAAATATTTTTTACCGCCCCGACACACTCATGTGGGTTATCGTTATGCAACAACAACAGCAACAACAACAACAACAACAGACACTTGCCCCGAGAGCGCAACAAAGAATTTAATACAAATCGTTGCCTGTCAGCGTACAAGAAGCCAAACAAATTATAACAGGTGCCGCTGCCGTTGCCGTTGTTGAGTGCATTAAGAACCACATACACACACACACACACACACATACACATATGCGCACAAATGCCCCCGAGTTATGGAATTGAGTCCGGAATGAGAACGTGGTTGGGGGTTAGGCTTGGGGGTGGGGGCCCTCGTATCGGCAGCTAATTTTCCATTGCTTCATAGCCAGCCAAGTGCTAAACTGTTGTGAATCTGTAAACCAAAACAACAGTAACGTCACTGAGATTCGGACACACACACACAGAGAGAGAGAGAGAGATGCACACCCACACTCAAGCGCAGACAGCAGCCAGACAGTGTTGGCAAATGTCCCTATATCCAACAGCTAGAAATAGCCAAAAGCTGAACAAGCAATAGGCAGAGTTACATCTGTCTGTCACTAAATTTAACTTTAGCTAGAAAATAGCTGAATGGGCAGCACTGCAGCCAGAGCCAACTGCCAAGAGCTCCCACAGTCGGTGATTTAATGTGGGAACAGCATATGGCGCTGATGTTGAACACGTGCACGGCGCCGGACAGC